AAGAGGTGGCTTTCAAGACACCGAGATGTGCTGGCATTGTGTATTTAATATAAAATCCAGAATGCTTACTTACTAAACACTGAGATTTTATTCCAGTTAATAAAAAATTTAATTAAAATAGCATGCCCTTTGGGGAACATCTGTCTCCTTCTGTATTGCTCATTCAAACGTCTACCAGCTTTATGCATTCCTTTTACAGAGCTGAGATAAAATTAAACTTCTGCAACAGGCTGGAGCTGCACATACAACCTGGGATGTTTAAATCAGCTTTAAAACCCAGAGCTACCCCTTCAGCTGAGGTGCAGCTGTCTGGGACTCAGTGGTCTTTGGCTGCAGGCTGGCAGTTGTCAAAGTACAAACTGTTATTGTTACTGAAAAATGGATGAATTTTAAGTATATTTCAAGATTTCATGGGAGTTGTGCCTTGCCCAGATACTTGGCCCTTCAGAGGGCCATGGATCATAGAATCATAGAACTGATTAAGCTGGAAGAGGTTTAGTATCAAAGTCCATCCCCAGCAGTGCCAGGTCCCCACTACCCCGTGTCCCTCACCCCACATCTCCACAGCTTGGGAACCCCTCCAGGGGTGGGGACTCCACCACTGCCCTGGGCAGCCTGGCACAGCCCTGGGCAACCCTCCAGGGGAAGACATTTTCCATCAGGAGATGATCATAGTATAATTTCATTTTCTCACAAACAAAGATTAGTGCTCCAGGAAGCAAATCCTGCGTGCATGTTCACATCTGCAGGGACTAAAACTGACCAACTCAATACCACAGGTTTTTAGTCTTGAAAAATAAAATCTTGGAACCATGAAAATATTACATTTTAAAATACACTACATTAGGACTATATGACTAAAATAATTCATAGGGATAAACTGACCTAACAGTCAGCTTCTTTAGAAGATCCTGAAAGCACCTGCCTATAACACACTGCAATAACTTATCACTTAGAGAGATTTTGCTATCATAATTTAATTTTTACCACATTTCCAGTGACTGCTGATGGTAATTATCACTTCATTAGACTGATACAAAGCTGTTATCAATCACTCAGCATAAAAACACTTAAAACACCCTTTTGGAAAGTGATCTATTATATATTAGAGGTGCTGGAGACATAAAATCCTGCTGTAAAATCCTGATCCTTACCTCTTGGTTTACATCCTAACTGAGGCCCAAACAAATTTCAAGCAATCATTGTCAGCATTCAAGGATGTGTTCAAAGTTTTATGGTTCATTAATTTTTTTGGTGACACTCCTATAGTCAGGTCATTGGCATGAAAATTTAAGTATGTGACTAGAAATTGGACTTAAGTTCTTGTCATGTCATGGTTCATGTTGTAAATCACTTGTTGCAGCATAAGAAAAGCAAAATCTAAACCACATGGTTCCTTTTGGCTTGGCATGCTGCTGGTTTGGCCCAAGCAGCCTTTGCCCATCACTCTTGCCTGAGGTCTCCTGTCTCCTCTGATCCCTTTGGGTGGGTTTTCACTTTTCTATCCAATTGCTGCCTCACAAGCAACACCACGTTCTCTTTTTATTTTCAGTGATAAGCCTTTTTTTTACCATTATGAACTTAATTTTCAGACCACAAGTGGTTTTGCTGCTCTCCCTGATGCCCACCCATGCAGCTGATGCTCAGTGGGGTAGTGTCGTTTCCTCATCCACTTTCAGTAGAATTAATGAAAATGGGAAATAAATTAACATTTTTCAGCCCTCAGATACTTCTGTACAGTAGAGCACATTTTGGCAGGTAGGTACAATCTTCAGGGTAAGGATTAGTAAAATAATAGAGCTTAGGGCTTGTTAGGAAACTGTTGAGGAGGTTTGCAGTCATTTAAACAATCTACTCGAGTGACTCAAGACTCCTCCATAACACTGACTAAGCCTTAGTCTTGTTACTAAAATAGACAACCATAATCCTAGGTTGAGGAGTATTCTGAGTGACTTGAGGGATCAGATACAGACTCACCAGAAGCAGATGGAAGCACAGTGGACACGGTGTGAAGAAGATCAAGCCCAGCACAGGACCCAGCTGCTTAACCTGGTGATGGAGAGACTGGTAAGACTTTCTGGGGTGGCAGTGGGGTGGCCTCCAGCCCTTCCAGGACTGGGAGCAAGAAGCTCCTCTCACCTTGATCCCAGCAGGTACCAAACCATGCACACAAATGAGGAGGCCTAGCACAAAACCAGGTGCCTCAGGACACAGCCAGCAAAACAGTGGTTCATGGAAATCATGTCATCATGGTTTATTTTGGAAGGGATATCTGGAAGTCACAAGGTTCAGCCTCTCACTCAATCAGGGCCAAGAGCAAAATCAAGGCTTGAGCCTCACCCAGATTATTTTTGTTGCCAAGGATGGAGATCCCACGAAGCTCTGGGCATCCTGGGAGATGAACCCTTCCCTGATTAAACTGTCTGTGTAACTGTGGTGTACCCAACAGTGGTGTGCTCCTGTCCTGAGGAGTTCAGTGCCACCACTGAACAACACCAGCTTCATTCACTGACAGGCTTGGAAGAGGAAGGGATTAAAATAATACAATAAAATAAATTTTACATACAGAGCATCCCCCCTACCTCATGGCTGGTGCATTAAAACGTGGCATGTCTTGGTTCCACAGCAGCATTTAGCACTTGGCACAGGACCAATGCCTCTTAATTGATTCCTTCACAGCTTCCAAAGCTCTTCCTCCTCTGCTGTGCAGCTCATTCCACTTCAGAGCTCAAAAGCAATTGAGGCACAACCACCACGTCTTAGCACCAGGATGAAGGCTGCTGATCAAAGAGCAGATTTAGAAGCTGCCAGGAACTAAAATGCTCCTAATCTTTAATCTCCCTTTATTCTGCCTGTGATGATGACCTCTCATATTCAATGCAACCAACACTTAGTGCAGACAGGAAGACATTAAAAACATTTCTGGCTTTTCAGCTGCTATTTCAAAGCCATCATCTGAATATTTTTTTCTGATTATTTTGCAGAAAACACACAAATAGGGCCTAGAGCCCAAGTGTGGGGAGGAGCAGCTGAGGGAGCTGGGGGTGCTGAGCCTGGAGCAAAGGAGGCTCAGGGGAGACCTTCTGGCTCTGCACAGCTCCTGACAGGAGCCTGGAGCTGAGGGTGGTTGGGTTCTTCTCCCAAGGAATAAGGGACACAACAAGAGGAAAGGGCCTCAGGTTGCCCCAGGGGAGGTTTCACGTGTCCCTGAGGAACAATTTCTTGCCGTGGAGGGTTGCCCAGGGCTGTTCCAGGCTGCCCAGGGCAGTGGTGGAGTCCCCACCCCTGGAGGGGTTTCCAAGCCGTGGAGATGTGGGGTGAGGGACACGGGGCAGTGGGGACCTGGCAGGGCTGGGGGATGGTTGGACTCCATGATCTTGAAGGTCTCTCCCGGCCAGAATGGTTCTATTCTATACATGTAGTTAGTCTCCCTTGAAGGGGATGCTGAGCTAATTATTACAGCATTAACAGGACTTGGGAAGCTTTGAAAGCCACTCTGAAATAGGAAACACAGAACCCCAGCGTGGTGGGGTTGGAAGGGACCTCTGGAGATCATCTCCTCCACCCCCTGCTCCAGCAGGTCACCCCCAGCAGGGTGCCCAGGGTCACAGCCAGGAGGGTTTGGGATCTCTCCA